TGACAACCTTCTGAAGCTTTTCGACAAGGACTCCAGTAACTCTATCTCCACTCCACTCCCACTATAGCATCAACTCATGGCCCCTCCGATTCCTTCTCCAGACGCCTGCAAGGACCCGTACCCTGAGCTAGTCGGTTCACTCTGTATGCCATGATGTGCACTCGATCAGACTTGGCTTACCCGGTTAGTGTTATAATCACAATAGGCTCAGATGTGCCTAAAATCAGAGATAGAGAGCACAGTCGGATTTCCGTCAGACGGCTTCAAATATTGATAACGATCTGGTCGCTAAATCAAACTGTGATCTGTAAGTTGGATCTGGAGCGCGTTGCTGTCGCCTATCAGCAGCAAGTTGAATCATAACATTCCATGAAGATTTGACGACGCTATGGCGGTTTGACTGGCAGGAGGTACAGTAGCCACTATAGTCTTAGGAGTTCAAACTTAGCAAGAAGAGTTCGAGAGGGAGATGGTTCCCAGCCTCTACATATCCCAAGAGCCGAGGTCCAGGTTGGTGGTACACCACCACAGAGTCCCCAACCATGAAGAGTCTCGAAACCAACCCTCCAAGGAGCTACACCAAGTGAAATGTAACATTACACGAAGTAGCGTTACTATTTTCACTATTTAATATTTATCCGTGTCCCTTGGGCTTGAAATCTTGAGCTCTTGGTCTTGGTTCTGCAAGATAAATTCTTCTTGAGTTGATGGGGGCTTGCTGCACACACCTGCGATACGATGGACACTTCACACTCGACAAAAATAGAAAAAACACATGCGAGACACAAACGACGACTTGAAATGCGAGTTGTAAAAACTTGCTAATGTCTTGACCGACACAAACCATATAGTGACACACCATTCAAACACACACACAAGGACTGGATAGCAATGACATAGACTCACAATTTATTCCATGCCATGCATGCACACACACAAACAAGGACGACAAGCCGAGTGCAAGCCATAGGGTTGCACCAACAGTTAGTGTCCTCTATCGGTACGTCACCCCCGGATGCTACACTGCCTCCCATTGGTCTGCAGCCAAGAGGGTCCTCCGCTATCTAGAATCCACCGAGTCTCACATCTTCACTTTCCGTGGTACCTCTCCTGTCAAGCTTGAGGTATACACAGACTCCTCATGGGCCGATGACCAGACTGACAGACGCTCCTTCCAAGGGTAGGTAGCGGAGTCATCAGCTGGCGCTCCACTCGGTCCTCTGCAGTCTCCCTGTCGTCACACGAGGCTGAGCTCTACGCAGGCACAATGGCTGCTCAAGAGGCACGCTGGCCTTTCTCCTCGCTGAGTTAGGCTACCCCTAGCAGACGCCCATCATGTGGTGTGACGACCTGAGCGCCATTCACCTCACCAAGGATTCTTCGTACCACTCTCACACCAAGCACATCGAACTTCGTCATTTCTTCATCCGAGATCTTGTTCAGTGTGACCAGCTCACGGTAGGGTATATCGCCTCAGATTGCAGTCTTGCCGACCTCTTTACCATGGCTCTCGGCAAGGCTGTCCACCAGTGACTTCTCCGTTCCATGGGGCTATGTGCTCATTGACCAGGTTTGCAGTCTATGGGGGTGTATTAGAAAGTGATTGCAAATCTCACTTTTCTATTTGTAATTTTATATCCTAGTTTAGATTAGGAATGTTCTAGTGGGTTGGGATGTACTCACAAATTCCCAACCTCACCCAACTGTGGTCCCCCCAATCTCCAGTTACCCAATTGGAGATTTCAAAGATCCCTATGGGGATTCCCTCCGATTCCCCCCTTCATCCATTCTCTCTCACCTTGCCATGTACCTATAGAGCCTTGGGCTCCTTACCTAATTAATAAATTCAGCTCTACTTCTTACAGGTTTCAGTGGCACCACCATTGAGGACGAATTCCAAAGTGGGAGATGGGGGAGTGGAGGGGGAGGTGGCGTGGACAAGGAAGAAGGGAACGGATGTGATACGGAGGAGGTAGGAGTGAGGCATTTACGGGTGTTGGTATATGTGAGTGGCAGATGGGGAAGGAGAGGGAAGGGAGCCCAAAGGAGGGGAGGCATAGGGGCAGGAAGAGGCATGGGAAGCCATAGCTGCAACGACGTAACCATGCTGCAGCTGCTGGGGCCGCACCAGCTGTTGCTACAGCTGCCTTGCCGCCAGTGCCCAACGATGGCTGTGCCTGAAGCTGCTGCTGCTGCTGCTGCTGCTGCTGCTGCTGCTGCTGCTGCTGCTGCTGCTGCTGCTGCTGCTGCTGCTGCTGCTGCTGCTGTGGTGTTGTTGCTGCAGGAACTGCTGGTAAATACGGAACTGCTGTTATTGGAGCATTTGCTGCTGTTGGATGGGAGAGGAGGACCAGCGAGGAGCAGTAGGGAAGCCATGCAGCGGAGACAGGATTTGGGACCGGAAGGAGCAGAGGTGGATGAATCCGCTCGTACAGAGGGGAGCGGCAGAAGCGGCGGGATAACCTGTGGCAGTGAAAGAGCACGGCAGCGATGGGTGGATCTCTGCTTGGTGGACCTGTGACGGCTTGAGAATGGCGGCTGCGGGTGGATACGCGGCGGCACGGAGGTGAAACGACGGCGGGTAGACTCGCGGCGGATCGAAGGGGATGGCGGGTGGATCCACGGTGGCTTGAGAGTGGCGGTGGCGGGTGGACCTGCGGCAGCATGGAAGTTGATCGACTTCAGATGGAACCGCAGGGGCTCCTAAGGGGGAGGAAGGGTCGGCAACTGCAAACAGAAAAGAAAAAAAAGCGGGTCGATTTCAGTGTGCGGAATCGATTCGAAGCCAAAAAATGCCAAATCGATACAAAAACTATGTGATACTGCATAATGGATGCAATGTACCGCACCCTAATTGCACAATTCTTGGTATATAAGCACGAGGAGCTGCATGAGCAGGCTGGTATGTCAGCGAACGCGAGCCGAAAAGCTTGTGGGACAATTCCTTTGCCTCCTAACATGGTGTGTGGTTTTCCAATGCTGGCCTGCCCATACGCAAACACACAACTCTGAGAGCTCAACACAACTGCTGGGTCGGGGAACTGGGAATAGAAGTCAATTTGAAAGAGGCTGTCATATGATGCCCAGCTTACCTTGTATCCATCCAGCACACGTTTGACAAGTCCAGACACATCTTTGAACACGGTGGCCTAACTTGATCCAGGTTCAAAGACCTTGTCATACGCAGATTCTTCATTGCTCTCTGAGTAGGCATGCATGACGAATGCCAAATGGGACAGTCAAGTGGCAAACACCCTGCTACCTAGCTAGATACCCTATGGCCGAGGTATCCCAAGGCCTGACTTTACACGGAAGAGCTCACCTCATAACCGAACTACATATGCTACGGGCTGTATGTGACCAAACTGTCTCTTGAACATTCCTTGAACAAGGATGTACAGCCAAGTCACAACAAACTACATACCCTGAACAGTAATATTTAGCCAAGGTGCACTGCCTTGCTATATACAAGGACATACCGTGAAGCATTATCTTGTTTTCAGTGTTGACTCCAGGAATCCATATATCCATGGCTGGGTCTAACCTCCTTTCCTCCTCACTCCCTGCTAGTCCCCATATGCATTTACACGGTTTCAATGAGAACCAGAGACAACTTCCAAAGAATGTACCATCAACAGGTGGCGGGTTTCCGTTGATTCTTTCTATTCCTTTTATCGGCACTTGGTGCTGATGGTCAAGAGTTGCTGCATCTCAGCCAACTCAGAGTTTCCATTCTAGAAACCAGCTCTCCTCTTGCTTTCTTCTGAGTGTAGGCGCAAGCAAGAGGGATAGCAGCAAGCGTACATACAGCTTACTGGCTACTACAAGGGCGTACCTCTTGCAGTTGCATGATCTCTACTTCGCCCCCCTTTTCCTCCTCCTCTTGCTCCAGCACGGCAACTCTCTCCCATTCCCTCCTCAACCCTAGCTCCAGAGCGGTCACTCTTCCCTTTCCCGTCTCAGCTCTAGTTCAAGAAACGTAACTCTCAAGCTCCCCCCTTTCAGCTTCAGTTCCAGTGCCGCATCTCGTCCACACCCCATACTCCATCCCTTCCTCTCCTCTGCTGCTGCTGCCCGCTGCTCCTGCAAGCCGCTGATCACCTTCAATGCATCTGCCAATGCCACCAAAGTGGATGAAGTGGGGGCAACGGAATGGGAAGCTAGGAGGGGTGTGGTGGTTCCCTCCAGCGAGCCCCACCTCTGCTTGCAGCAAGTGACTGCTGCCAGCCATAACTTAGACAAAGGGATGGATTTAGTGTGTGTGGGAAGGAGTGGCTAGGGGTACAGGGAGAATTGTAGCAAGAAATGAAGCAAGGAACAAGACAATAAAATGCGAAAACCATCCATCCAGCGTGTGCAGGATCCCGCCACCCTACCATACGACACACCCTCTACCCCCACCCTTCGCAGCCAGCCGCCGACTGCCATCTGGCTGCACTGCCTTTGCCTGGCTAAACCCACCGGCACATCCACACCACAAGCATCATCAATGTCACCATCACCGCCAACACCGCCACCAGATTCATCAGTGACACCACCGGCAATTGAAGTAGAACCAGCAGCAGCAACTGTTGTTCTGTGTAATGCAATTGCACGAGTAATTGCTGATGCGTCCTCCGTGTTGAAATTTATAGCGGATGGTGAACCATCAATATCACAGGAGACCATGCGATGCATAGGATGCTGTTAATTGCTGCGTAGCAGTAGTACAATCGATGAGTCCTATATAAGAAATGCACCTAGGCAACGAGAGGGGAGCGAAGGAGACAAAGGTGGAAATCTGACTGATTGGGGTGAATCACACCACGACAAGGCAACGAGTTTGGGACACAGAAAAGCGGAGTATTTAAAATAGGGCTAGAGGGGACAGGGATACAGGGGATACGATTGAGTGAGCACAAGTAACAATTTTACAAGCGCTTTTTGAAATAACTTACATGGAAATGACGAGTGTTTCAGGAAGAATCTTCAGAGGATCCTCCACGCACCCTGAAGAAGCGATCCGGCCACCATGCGTACGCCAAGGCGGTTGCCGAGGTGCGGATAGCTGTACATGGCGATTCGCAGCCATGGCGGAGTGCCGGTCGCCCAGATATGATGGACGCTGTTCTATACATAAACTCAGAGCCGCTTGAGTTTGACCTTGCAGCATGGCTCGAAACCATAGATCCACCCTAGCAAAAAGAAGGCAAGGCGGTGAATGAGGAACTGGCAATCGCAGAGGCCGAAGTGCAGGTCACAGCGGAGTTTGGTGTGTTTAAGATAGCGGAAGAACACCTACGAGGAAAAGTGGAGCTGGAACAGCGGCGACGTAGAGAGGCCTTAAGGGAGGTGGCATGGTGCCGGCATGGTACCGAAGTCTATGTCAGTGAAGGGGAGGATTAGGAGGAGGAGGAGGAGGAGGAGGAGGAGGAGGAGGAGGAGGAGGAGGAGGAGGAGGAGGAGGAGGAGGAGGAGGAGGAGGAGGAGGAGGAGGAGGAGGAGGAGGAGGATTAGGAGGAGGAGGAGGAGGAGGAGGAGGAGGAGGAGGAGGAGGAGGAGGAGGAGGAGGAGGAGGAGGAGGAGGAGGAGGAGGAGGAGGAGGAGGTGGTGGTGGTGGTGGTGGTGGAGGTGGTGGAGGTGGACGAGGAGGCGGAAGGGGAGGGTAGCGCCTTTTTGGTGTCGCCGACTACGGCAGAGGGGGTACTCTACTACATGGAGGTTGAGGAAACACGGTCGTAAGCAGAAGACGAGGAGATGCTTTGGGAGCTATCAGAGGAGGAGAAGGAGCTACTAATGGCCGATGCGGAGGCGGAGAGGAAACAAACCTAGTATGCAGAGAAAAATATGGGCCTTTCTCCACTAGCGATCGTATTGCAAAAGACTGTCGGGGATAGAGTGAAAAGAGTCTGAAATTATTCTCGGGAGAGGAGAGTGGATGCAGAGAGCGTGGGCAAGGAGGAGAGCTTTGGCAGATGCTCGGAAAATGGGGGTATTTTGAGGTGGACGCAAACGGTCGATTGGCTATGTGTCCTATCGTCTCCCTTAAGGCGTGGTACTTCGACAAAACAAGGCCAAGTTGCGCAACTCGGGAAGCGCAATTCGCGAAATCAGTCGCAGCGAGCGCAACCCGATACTGGAACCTCGGATTTCGCTTTTTGGGTGGAAATCGCAACTCATCTGGAACATCGGGTTGCACTCGAAGAATGCAAAGTGCCTGACATGAAATGCGAAACCTGTTACCAGATTCCTGGAGCGAAATCAATATTGCCATTTTGATTTGCGGCGCACACTCACCATGGGAACATACAGAACCTCCGGGCCCGTGTTTGGTGGAGGTTCCTCACCGCTTAATGGCATTGCCTTTCCCTCGACTCCTTGTCTTCATTGCATCCCTCCTCCAGTACAGAATGCCCCCTCGCTGATGCTGTCCCCCCTTCCTCCTCCTCCGACTCGGGTCTGCTTGCCATTAGATCTGCAGCCGTTTCGTCATCTGCCCCTGCATAGGTGTCTTCGTACAAGATACAGTAGTAGACTGATGCCTCATATGCGAGTTTTTGGGAAATCTTGGCAGAAGGTTGTGGTTTGGGATTAAATAACAGAGCGGCGTTTGTACGACAGTCGGCGAGCGGATAGCCAAGCGTATAGGAGCACTTCGTTCCTCTCACCTTCTTCGAGCAATTTCTTGAAGGCCTTGTCCTGCCGTGCTCCTCCCCATCCCACCCCACATGCTCTTGTTATCCTGCCATTCCTGCTAGCCTTGTAAGGAGGGAACTGGTAATGCAGGCCAGCAAAGGACTGGTCGGCCACGTCGATCAGATCCAACAGTGAGTCTGGCGCACCTCCGACCCGGCCGAGAAAATATTTTCCGTGCACTTTCAAGTGCTGGTCAACAACCGGCTCTACCCTCTCCCCTCCCGAACCTGGGTCGTAAAGGCCGACACACCAGTTAGTGTCGCTGTTCTGTGGGGGGAGATAGCCACGTGGTAAACACTCGACTGGACGGGGGCCTCATCTCCAAACGGAAGTTTGCCCTCACCTGCATTGGGGGCGGCCCACATAAGCCTGCGTGTCAATGGTGCGTTCGCCTCTATGTAGAGATACAGTAGGTCCGAGTTGGATGTGACTCCCTCGCCGGCCGCCATGGCTGATAGGCTGGCAAGCAAGAAGATCAGGGGAGCCCGCATATCTCAATGTACATGGTGCCCAGCGTTGCTATGAAGTTTGCACAGGGCAATGAGTGGCGGCTCAAGTTTCGCCTTCCTGGCCGCAGCTTGATTCTCTGTGGTATCTTCACACCTGTGGTTCGGCACATGTACAAAGGGGTGCAGCACAAGTAGTTTATGTTGTTCGCCATGTGGCAACATCAAAAGTGTTTATGACCCCTGCCCACGAGGGTACGACTTGGGGGGGCTGTTAGTCATTCATCTTTATTGAGTGTCAAATCCTCAGCCATGCGACCGGCTGATTGCTCCTACGCCGATTACAACACCAACAATCGGGCCCACACCATTGTTCGGAGAACATGAACGCAAGGTGGCTATCTACTTGTGTTAGGCTACAGTAGAGTGTCTGGGCCCCCTCCCTTGTGGCTCTGAACACACACCTTTGGGTCTGGTTTCCATCTGAATCAAAGGTTTGAAAGGTTGGTGATTGACGAGCTGCCACCGATGCAGTGGTGGTCGATGTTCCCTAGTGTTCATGGGTGTGGTGATTAAAAAGGGCATGGTGGTTGACACGCCTGCTCGACCTTTTGGACCAGCTAGACCCCTGCTGGGGCAGCATAGAGTACTTCCCTATGGCTGAGTATGGGAAGCGTGGTGCTGGGCGCAGCGGGATGTTAGAAACAGAAAAGTAGGTTTCTTCATGAGGGAAGGAGCATTAAATAGCAAGGGAAAGAGGCTAGGAAGGGGAGAGTGGAAGAGAAGTTTGAAGGGAAGGGGAGGTAAGGGCCAATCACGAGGGGAGGAAAGAGCCAAATGTGGTGGACCACAAGTGGCTTGACCAGCCCAACTTGTGGTGCCCCCACAATTGTGGTCCTTGGTGTTGAGGGCTCCAACCACAAGTGGGATGGATTGACACCCCACACAAGTGTACACCCAATTTTGGGTGTACTCGCAACATACACAAATAACCTAGCAGGGTATGATCCAATACGGAATGCTGGACGGATGGGAGTGCGGAGAGAATGAGGGTGCTGGGAGAATAGGTGTGCGTTGGGAATAAGTGTGCAGGGGGTGAGTGTGTGTCGTCGGTGATAAGGAGTGCTGGGAGAACGAGAATGCTCGGAGAATAGGCGTGTGTGGAGAATAATTGTGCAAGGGGAGAATGGGTGTGATGGGAGTGTGTGTGCGCTGGGAGAATCGGGATGCTGGGCGTTTAGGAGAGCAGGGAGAAAGGGGGTGCTGGGAGTATGGGGGTGCTGGGAGAATGAGGGTGCTGGGAGAATGAGGGTGTTGGGAGGATGGGAGTGCTAGGAGAACGGGAGTGCTGGGAGAATGAGGGTGCTGGGAGAACGGGAGTGCTGGGAGAACGGGAGTGCTAGGAGAACGGGAGTGCTGGGAGAACGGGGGTGCTGGGAGAATGAGGGTGTTGGGAGAATCAGAGTGCTGGGAGAATGGGAGTGCTGGGAGGATGGGAGTGCTGGGAGAATGGGGGTGCTGGGAGAATGAGGGTGCTGGGATAATGAGGGTGCTGGGAGAATGCGAGTGCTGGGAGAACGAGGGTGCCGGGAGAATGAAGGTGCTGGGAGAATGTGAGTGCTCGGAGAATGGGGGTGCTGGGAGAATGGGAGTGCTGGGAGAATGGGGGTTCTGGGAGAATGGGGGTGCTGGGAGAATGGGAGTGCTGGGAGAATGAGGGTGCTGGAAGAATGGGGGTGCTGGGAGAATGAGGGTGCTGGGAGAATGGGAGTGCTCGGAGAATAGGATGTTTGAAATAGATTGCAAATCCCACTTTTGTATTTGTATTTTTATATCCTAGTTTAGGTTAGGAATGTTCTAGTGGGTTGGGGTGTACTCACAAATCCCAACCTCACCCAATTGTGATCCCCCCAATCTCCAATTACCCAATTGGAGATTCCGGAGATCCCAATGGGAATTCCCTTTGCTTCCCCCTTCATCCATTCTCTCTCACCTTTGCCATGTACTTATGAAGCCTTGGGCTCTTTACCAATCAATCCTTTCAGCTCTATTTCTTACATGGTATCTGAGTGACCTATCCACACACGCGGATCAAGGTCCTGATCTTAACGTGCCCGCGTTGCGCGCACCTTATCGTCTCAACATTCATCTCGAGTCATCGGAATTTTTTTTGTGCTCCACTCTGCAGTTGCGCCTCTCATCGTCGACCGCCTTGGCAAAAATCAAGCGGCAATGGCTTACTCAACCACTTCACTCGCCAACCCGATTCCGCTCCTTCGTCTCGAGCCGGACGGTACGTGCTCCAACTACAAGGCTTGGCGCTATGTTGTCGACAAGCACCTCCTCAGTCGCGAGGTGAAGGGGCTTGAGCTCACCGACGTCCTTCTCAACATCGGTGACGGCAAAGAGCCTCCTAAACCCGAGAGGTCCGCCGATTCCAGATAATGCTGCTGCCGAAGCAGTTTATGCTGCTGCGATGCTCAAGTACAAGAATTGGGAGAAGGCCGATGGCGCGGTCATAAGTGTCTTCATGGGCACCAACCCTCCCGAACTCGTCGAAACATACCACAACTACACGTCTGCCAACGCCATTGAGCTCTACCTCGAAGACCGCTTCCTGAACAAGACTGCAGTGGGAGTTGCTATACTCATCCCCAACATATACCTAGTGCGGCTCGAGGACTAGCTAGGCATGGCGTACAATGTCACCAAGGTGCAGTCCATTCATGGTGAACTCAAGCAATTGGGGATAGTCTTCCCCGAGCAAGCCCCTGCAGCCGCTCTCCTAGTCGGCCTCACTCCAGCATACGAAGTCACACGCAAGATGCTCTTGGGCCTTGCTCCTACGGACCTCACATTTGCCAAGGTCTCATCCGCGCTCCTTTCTGTCGAAAAGGAAAACTGCACTCAAGCCAAGGCCATTGCAATTCGCGCTCCCGTGCCTCATGCCTATGCCCCTTCGGCACCATTCCAATGCAACTGCTTCACCCCATTTCTCTACGTTATCAAGCACGGCCCTCATACCAGCCAGGTTTGTGGGGGCACAAAACACGCCCTTGCCTCCTGCTTTAAGAAGAAGGATGATGAGTGGTATGCCGTCAATGGGACCGCCTCGAAGCCGCCGAGCTAGATGGTCAATCGTGCTCCTAGCCAAGTCAATCAAGTCGAAGCGCAGGAATCCGTGCAGGCTGTTGTGCCTGCCCCTGCTGATGTGCACCTTAACATGTTGTTCCCTGGCACTGCCATGATTAATGAGACGATTTCGCAGTGTCCCGGCTCACAAAGCACCTCAGCCACAATAGAGTTCACCCTTGACAGTGGGGCCACTCACACAGTTCTCAAGGAAGAGCACACCTTCAAGCCATACGAGACACCAATCTGTCTACAAGGAGCAGACTCCTGTTTCACAACACACGCCAAGGGCTCCTCCACAGTTCCGTGCCCAGCTTTCCCTTTGGGCAGTGTCACCGACATGTGTGTTCACACTACGCCACAATCTCGTGGCCCAACACGAGCTCCAATGGCCGGCGTCGCCACGATCTTCCCAGCACACTCGGATCACTGTGACCTTCTCGACCCTAAGTCCAACAAGCTCCTAGCACACTTCACACTCAACAGCAGCAAGCTCTACAGGCTACATTCACTTGCACGTCTCGCCGCCCTCTCTCAAGCGCAAGC